CAGTCAAGAATGACTTCCAGACACACAAGAGGTCACGAAGGAAAAAGCCTTTCCATATGCCCCCACAATACTGCAGCTAAAACCAGCACAGAGCCACTCCCTGCTGCTAGTTCTCAGAATCAGGGAAGAGGCATGATCTCCGAGTCCTTGAGAATGGTTACTAAGGAAAGTCCAGTGCTCTAGCTCCTAGAAAGACAAAAGATGTTGCTTTGAGACTACACAAAATGTGGCCACTCCCTTCAAGAAGAGTAATCAAAACAGTTTCTGCTGAGTACTACATAGGCGCAGCCAACCAAGAAGCCATAAGAATAACCATGTGGCATTCACCAAGCATTTTGCACCACATAACCTATCAATCAAAGCACAGTGAAAAGCTTCAAGACTTCCAGATGATATTCCACATAATGCAGAATATGTAAAACAAGTTTGGTAAATTGGTATCAAATAAAAATCACGTGCAATACTACATGCCTGCAAAGACTTCTATGAACTCAAGAACTCAAGTGCACAATTTTCATTAAACATTAAATGCTACTGAAGTAAATGCAAGTCTGGGAGAATTTGACCCAATAACCTAGAAACCAATGATACCAGCACTAATGCAATGAAATGCAAAAATATGAAAAAAATTGCCAGCTGTTTTCTTTTATAATGCTGAGATCTTGCTAGTGCAAAAATTGTTTTTCCAAAGAATTGTGATGCAAAGTTGCTGTGCTGTCATTATAATTCTTTTTGAAGAGCTTGCAATGAGCTTGTCACCATTTTAAGTACAAATAGGTTATTACAGAATAAAAGCTCAAGAAATTATAAAAGACTTTCTTTCCTAGAATGACAAATTTCTTTCCTAGTATCAAAATTTATTTTGATATTTCATCTCTAAAATTTTTCGAAGTCTGAAGCTTGTTCAATCAGCATTGTCATGAAATTTGAGTCAGGCCAAAGCATCCAAACAAAATCCCTTGGGAGAATGTTTTAATAATATTTTTAAGCATTTGTGGTTTTTCTCATTTACCTTCTGGTTTTTAATTTTATAAAGGTACATATTTTCCACATTTTTGGGGGGGCCTAGAAACTTTGATTTGAAAAAAAAAAAACAGTGGATATTCTCTCCTACAGCTACCTGACTCCAAAAGATAAAGCTTTAAGGAAACCACCAAATGTCATAAGACTCATAAAATAAAATGAAGTTACAAGTGTAGACAATACTGATGCATTATTTCAAAACTCAATTTATTAAATTAAATACCAGCACAAACAGTTCCACATCCTGAACAGGCCGATCTATTTTCTGGTAAGATCATTTACATACTTGCTCAAAGAAAGTCTATAATAAATTCTGAAGAGTTCCTAGCACTAGTGTTGCATATGAAACGATAGAAAAATGGTCCTCAAACTAGGGAGTTACTGTAACACAGCATGTATGATAAACTATTGGAGAGAAAGTAAACAGGTGGTTACTAGGCAGGAAACCAGTAGGATGGAACTGGATTTATGAAGTTGGAAAAGAAGGTAGGCTTAAATTTGGTTAACATGCATTGTAGTTCAATTAACTGCATTTATCTCTCTCTTCTCAGACGGTATTAAAGGCTATACTGGTCCCTCATTTAGCACTTACTACACTTGGTCCTGATCTAAAGAGCAATGCTACACTGAAAGACAAGTAACAAGTATTTTTTTAGTTAACTGTTACTGGCTGCCCTAACTGTTAATCTGAAATAAAGACGTAGGAGCATAAGAAACCATAAAAACCTGATAATACTCTCATTTCTCAGTCTATCAGGACTAGAAATCTTTTGACAGACCTATACAAATGATTTTATGGCTAATACCTTTTTCTAAGCAGCAATCCTAGACTCAGACCCAAGACTTACTTTAAAGAGAAAGTTGTCACTATGCTGGCTTTCATAAATTGTGTAAAAAAAAAAAAAAGTACTATCCTTCCCCATCCATCCACATTGCTTTTATGTGAATTCGATGAAAAGGAGAAGAATCGCAGGATACATACTGAAACCAAACATACTGAACTGCTTCATAGTCATTTTGAGAAAGTGGAGAAAAATGCTGACCTACCATTAATAAGATATGGATGATTGCAGCATTTTCTAAGTTCCATCATAGTGTTCAGAAGATTAGGTACATTAGCTTGGCCACCACCCTTAGAGAGAAATGTGAAGTTCTTTTCAAGAATAGCACGATAGTATTTCTTCTGAATATTTGTCAGCTCAACTTCAATGATGGTTTCTTCTTTTGGAGCCAGGTTCTTTTCTACATCCTCCTTGAGACGTCTTAACATCATTGGCTTCAAAATAGCTTGGAGTTTTTGCACCTGGAACACACACACGGTTATTTATTGACAGGAATAGCAAAGTTTCAAATATTAAGTTTTTGATTCTCAAAAGAATACTGCACCACCTTCAATTTTAAGGAGCAACTGATTGTCATACCCTAATCCTAAAAGAACATGGATCTCTAAAATTCCCTTCTCTCCACAGCTCAAAAGTAGCAGCATTAACATTTCTTAGAGTCAACTAATGATTGAATTTGCCTTGGGTAGCCTAGGGGATACACACTATTAAAGTTTAAAAAAATGAAACAGTACCGTATCATTTCTGTTCAGCAGTATTTTTCTCAGGTGAGATTATGTTTCTGATGTTATGAAATAAGTCTCACTTGGATCAAAATTTCCCAAGCAGGAATCATCATTTCACATCAGCCATGACAGCTGGGTGAAACAGAAGAAGTGTGCCTGAAGACAAACTGATAATGTTTCAGGTTTTTTTTTCCTGGGGTTGGAAAGATCCCTTTTCTCATTTCCATTAAAATTCCCCAAAATCGGCCAAATTCTAAGCCTCTGAAAAAAAAATCTCATTCTGCACAAACTCACGATGGGTTTGCTGAAGGCTGGCAGATGAATTCGCTTTAGACCATTTGCAATGTCTTAGCACACAAAACTCAAAGCTTCAGGGTTTGGTAACAGTACATACAGTCACTCTTCCAGAAGGAACTCTCCTAGGAGTGATTTAACCTTGGTAGCTCCCAGGTTATTTTCCTCATGGAGCACCCATTTTTACTCCGGGAGAAAAAGCCTGAACATCTGTACACTTTTGGTTTCTTCTGGGAGGACAGTGACTTTCCCAGCAGAAACTGAATGCCTGTACAAGACCTAAGATGACCTTGCAATTCCTTCTCTCATTTACTGGGGGCCCACTCTAGTGCAGAGCACTAAAAGTGAGAGTGGGATGACAGTCTTTCCTGTTTTGTCCATTATGTCTAACAAACCAGCATGAAGGCCAACTTTTTTGGCAGGTGTGCCACTAATTAGTCTTACACCCTCCTTAAGTGCATCTACACGTGCAATTAATGCAACGCAATAAATTCCAGAGTGTTTTGAATCGGAGTAAACTGCTCCCAGGCACAGCATCTACTTGTGCACCCAGCACAGTAGCAATTTGAGCTGGGGTAGTGCAGGCCCCTGGCTGGTCTGACTGGGTTCAATTTACAGCCCTGCTCAGTGTCTACACATGTGTTTTGGTACCATAAAGTCCTCTGCCGTAAGACAGTACTGTCTGTGACAATACAATCTTACGGTGTAAATTAATTAGTTTATTGTGCCCTAATACTGGTGCACGTGTACACTGTGATGCTTTATTGTGGAACTGATTAGTCTACTCTGTACTAAAGCGCATATGTAGATGCATCCCAAGTGCCACTCTGATCCCCTTCTCTTCCCAATCTGCTGCTGTGCTTTCTGCCCTGTGCTCCCTGTCTGATATGTTGCTCTACTTTCTGCCCTATTTACCTACCACTGTGTTGTCTATCCCCTCCCCAGTCAGCCTCTGTGTGGCATGTGGCAATCTGTGCCACAGGCTGACCACTCCTGCTGCAGATTTAAAAAAGTAAGGTTCATGACAAGGGGGAAACAAGAAGGGGGAGATTAAATCACTAGTTGACATTCCCCTCGATTATTTGTAGTAGAACCCAGGAGTCACCTTTAAACATTCCTTTGCTATCTATCTAACAACAGCTAGGGAATGCATTGGTGAAGTGATGTTTCTTGTTCCCCTCTAGTGGTTTTTCCAAGCAGAAGAAACTTAGTTCAACTGATATGGGACTATGTTGTGTATCCAAAGGTTACAACTCTGATGTGATTGAGAGAAATTATTATTTCCAGTGATATAATTTTTTTCTCAGTTTCTTCTTTCTTAAAACAAGGTACTTAAAGCTATGTTACAAGGAAGAAATACAGGTCAAAGTCAAGCACTCAACCGTTAAATGCTTTGAAGAAAAACTGAGATCAGATCCTATGGAATGAAACAGTACATAATAATGTGATTAAAACAATCATATGTGGATATACACAAATAGATCAAGTTAAGGTAGCATTCATAACACCTTGTGTTTCTGGCATTTCCTAATTTTTGAGTACTTGATTTAGCCATCGTAGCATGATTTTAATAGGACAGCACTGAAGAAATAATTTCTGAATAAAGAACAGAAAGAATTTTCTCCTTACTGAGTTATATTACTTCTTAACCTGGGTAAAACAGGTTCCCGCCCCCACTGGAGCCAACAGCAAAACTTTCATTTGTATCAAGGGAAGCAACTGTCCTCTCTCCTGTTAGAAGCACTCAAGGGACTGTCAAGTGAAAACCTAGTCAGTCTAAACAAATAAGTGAAAAAATTAAAAAACATTTTTTCATACTACATCTGTACTGATCCCTGTGCCAATTGTTCGTACAATCTCTTTATACAAAATATTTGTATCTTCCAGTTACTGACTGACTGGCTGAACAGCAGATAGATTTTTTTTTTTTACTATACAATGTGTTGTCAAATATATAAAACAAGCTTTTTTTTAATCTCCACTTTTCCAGTTCTAAACACACTAAGAATTACTTGTAATAGCAGGAAATAAAATTCAGACTCGGTAGCATGGTTAAATTGACATTCTTCCTAAACAGGGAAAGAAGAGTGTGTATGAGTAATTACCTGTTCTTCAGTTTTCAGATCACCAAACTCTTGCATGAATGTGGTTTCTGAAGGGAAGCGAGCTGGTTCCAAGAAATGAAGTAAGCTAAACAGCTCTTCTACAGTGTTCTGTAATGGGGTACCAGTAAGCAGCACCTTGTGTTCCTGCAAGAATAAAACAGTTGCCTAGAAATAAAATCTATGAAGGTTCATTTTCAAAGCATGTCTCTGCTTGTTGTTTTTCTCAAGAGTTGTTTCAATAAATTCTGCAACTGCCTCTTTATGGCTTATCAGAAAATCTTTATGACATTCAACACTGTGGCCTTCCTCCCATTGCACACTGGGATACGACTCCAAATCATTATTGTCAATTTATTACCAAAGTCTGCTGACCAACCAGCCTGCTGCCACTCAGAATTTGCCCCCACTATCCATGTGCCTCCATAAATCAGATGGACTTTTGGACTAGACAAATACAACAGGAATTAACACCTCCACTTTCCGCACCCTCCCAAGTACACAACAGAAGTCTTTGATATGCTGCATTAAACAGTGCATGTAGAATGATTTACTTTCTCTCTAGGAACAGACACAATTGCTGCATGTAGTAGGACCAGCCCCCTGCTTCCACTCCAGCTCCTCAGGGTGACCTCCTCCTCATCTATCTGCTATGCCTTGATAGAACTGTATTTGATATTTGGAAGCTGTTCCCCAGAGTCCCTGAGTATCCACTGGCTCCCTATTTGGCCTAGCCTTCTGTGCTGTGCTGGACTGTTTGGTGTCTGCTTTGTGGCCATGGATCCCAAAACCCACTACACCCCCAGCTCTGTACCCCACTGGCACCTGCTCCTCTGACTGATCAGGCCCTACTGGTCCTGTCAGTGCCTTCAGACACCAACCTACCCTAGTGCTTTAATTGAGGCCCTCTTAACTCAAACTGCCCTAAAGAATCTAATTGTGGCCTCCAGCCACCCCCACTACTATTATGCCCATGCCTTGCAGTTGTTACGCCAGATTCATTTCTTTGGGCCCTCTGGTCCTGTTCATCAGGCCGCCCCCCAGGCACAAGGTCTGGCAAGGCTCAACCTATTTCCCTAGGCCCTGATCCTACCTGGATTCGCTTTGCTGGACCCATCTGTCAGACCACCCGGCCCTTGACCTTTTTGGCCTTACACTGTCCCTGGGCCCATGGTCCTGTTCTGGATTCATCCTGTTTCAAGTTGAAGCCCCTCACCCCAGGCTTTTGCCCTTGGTCTCCACCTGCCTCTGGGCCCCTTACCCTGACTTGGCTGCAGCCCCTCCCAGACTCCAGCTTCACCAGACAACCCAAAGCCAAGAGAGCTGAAGTCTATCTCCAGCCCTCAGCCCTCTTGAGTCCCTGACCCAGGCTAGGCTGCTATCACAAAATACCCCACCAGGAACCTCCCATGGCCCCCATCCTCCCCTACAGCCACAATTCGGTCCTCTGCTCAAACTTAAACACAAACAGTAACCCACCCGGCTCTAACAATCTTATACCCTAACCTAAACCCACCAGTCTCTGCTTGTTGCAAAATCCCTCTAGGTTCCAGCTTCTCTGCAGCTAGTCCTGCAGGCAAGAGCTCCTTCTCTTCAACAGAGCAAGGCCTGACTGCCTGTTCTGGCTCACGGCTGAGCTTTTATTTCCCTGAGTACCTCCTACTTCTGGTCTCATGCCCCCCCACTCTCCCCACTCAGCTCCTTACTGAGCCTAGGTGTTCTTTCTTTAGCTCAGTGAGCTGCCTGCTCCTCTCTGCTGCAGCTTGCACAACTGAGTTGCTTACTTAGTAGCTAGCCTAAGCTCAGTTGCCCCCATCAGAATGCAGCTCTAGCCTGCTGTTCTCCCCTCTCAAAGTAGCAGGGCCTTTGGTCCCTGTTAAACTGCCCCAAAGCAATCCTATAACAGAATTTTATTTCTCATTTTAAAAGTAACACATTCTGCATTATTTCTGTAGTCCTAGAAAGGGCAGTTAAAAAAAAATGGGGCAGGTTTGTTAAGTCTCAAGACCTGCTGGGTAAACATTTGTTTGTATACAGATCCTATGGCTGTTTAAAAGCAGACCTTGTTTTATTAAATATATAAATATATATATATATATTAACTGAAACCAGGAGGTAGTACTGCCAGGGTGTAGACAGTGAAAAAGGAAGGAAGATGTGGCAAAGTGGCTGACATATACAGTACAGCCTATGGGAAAAGTTAAGGGGAAAAAACAAG